TAAAAAATGGACATTTTCTTAAATAGCCTAAACAAACAAAAAAAAATTGTTATTCCTTGGTGTCATCTAATAACTAGTTCATATTCAGATTTACTTAAAATGGCTTTTAACATATGTTTTGTTAGTAACGAATATTCAAACAAAATCCATATACAGCTGACCCTTGAACAACACAGGGGTTAGGAGTGCTGACCCCCCAGTACAATCTAAAAATGTGTGGATGCTCAAGTCCCTTAAATAACTTTTGACTCTCCCCAAACTTAATTGTAGCCATCCCTTGGGATCCTTGGGGAATTGTTTCCTTATACAAAATGGCATAGAACAATGCATACATTCAGTCCTCTTCATCCAGGGATTCCCAACTGTGGATCAAAAATGCTGTTTTTGATTTGTGGTTGGCTAAATTTACAGATGCAGAACTCCAGGTGTATGGAGGGCCAACCATGTATTTATTGGAAAAAATCCACATATAAGTAGATTCATACAGTGCAAACCCACATGTTGTTCAAGGGTCAACTACATTGCATTTGGTTACTAAATCCATTGCATTTAGTTCTCTTTTATTATAAAGCAGGCCTCCCCCAACCACCACCATTTTGCCAATGATTTAATAAAGAAACTTCATCATTTTTCCCATTGAGTGTACCACATTCTGGATTTATCTGTCTTGTTCCTCATAGTCCTAGGAATTATATTTTCCATTCATTTATTTAACAAATATGTATTAGGAGCAGACTATGAGCCAGATCTCTACAAAATGCAATGGCTACCAACAGTGTATACAACTAGTCCTGGCCCAAACAAAAGAAAGCCATAGAACAAATAATTACACAAAACATTAATTATTAGCAATTCTGATATATGCTAAGAAGGTAATGTATAACGTAGTAATATAAATTATAGCAAGTAAACTTAAACCTACTTGAGGGGTCACAAAGAGTATTTATTTTGTATACTTCAAAGCACCTTTTACAGTGTTAAGTAAACAAACATTCAGTATTTCTGGGTTGCCTGGGATATAAGTTTTCTTCAGATATCAGCCTTGTAATCTAAAGGAAATAGTACTACCTCTTGAGTTCTGAACATCAAATCTGACTCTCTTATGAGTCTGTATTAGAGAAAACTGAAAGAGGAAACAGTTTCCCCCAGGTAAAATAAATTATATTAGAAGAGAAAAAAGAATTCAGGAAGTGGCTACATAAAGTCAAAGAAAAAGATCAAATTTCATGACTACCCAATTAGATAGTAGGACAATGAATTTTGTTGTTGTTGTTGTTAATGCTCATCTGAGGATATTTTTTTCCACTGATTTTTAGAGAGAGTGGAAGGGAGGGAGGGAGGGAAAGAAAGGTATGTGACCTTGACTGGGAATCGAACCTGAGACCCTTTGATACTCAGGCTGATGCTGAGCCAAACCAGCCAGGGCAGGTCAATGAATTTTTGACAAGGAACAGAAAGGTTATTATTTAAACCTAGGAGAAGATGCTTAGTAAGATATCTGCCACACTGTTCAAAAGGGCTTTTAGGTTAATGTTGAGGAAGGAAGAGCATCCAGGTAGACTTTAAGGTTGGATACAATAGCCCTGGCCGGTTTGGCTCAGCGGTTAGAGCGCCCGCCTGCGGTCCGGAGAGACCCGGGTTCGGTTCCCGCTAAGGGCACGTACCTTGGTTGCAGTTTGTCCCCGGCCCTGGTTGGTCGTGCGGGTGGCAGCCACTCGATGTGTCCCTTTCACATCGATGTTTCTCTCTCTCTCTCTTTCTCTCTCTCCCTCCCACTCTGTCTGTACAAAAAATGGAAAAATGTCCTCTGGTGAGGATAAAAAAAAAAAAAAAAAAAAAGATTGGATACAATAAAGGGTAAAAGATAGAATAAAAAACAGTAACAGAGGAGATAAATGATAATCCAGATCTTCATTTCAAAAGATTATAGCACTGTTTTTGAATAAATTATGAAATATATTACTTTTGTACAATACTATCCACTTGAGACCAATGTAATGTTTAAGTTCCCCTTGTTTCAACCAGACGTTAGTCTAGTTTTGGGGTAAAATAGCATGACATTTTTTGAGTGCCTTGAAAAAATAAATTCTAGTATGAACTGAATTGTGTTCCCCACTCCCATCCCACCAAATTCCTATGTTGAAGCCCTAACCCCCAATGTGACCATATTTAGAGACAAGGTCTTTTAGGAGGTAAGTAAGGTTAATTGAGAGATCATAAAAATGAGGCCGACAGGATTGGTATCCTTCTAAGAAAAGGAACAGTGACCAGAGCTTGCTTGCACTCTCTCTCTCTCTGACATGTAAAGACACAGGGAGAAGGTTACTGGCTGTCTACAGGCCAAAAAAGAGCCCTCGCCAGAAACTGAAACCGCTGAACCTCGATCTGAGACTTCTAGCCTCCAGAACTGAGAGAAAACAAATACAGTGATACCTCGGTTCTTGAACGCCTTGACTTTCGACCAAATCGGTATTCGACCAGGAGATTCGAGAAACTTTTGTCTCGGAATCCGAACAAATATTTGGAACTCGAACTTCCGAGATGAGCCGAGTTGAGCCGAATGGCGTTCATTCGGCCCAGCGTGCCTTGCTTGCGTCATCAGTGTGAGTGCAGAGAGAGAGTCACGCTTTGTGGAGAGAGTCACACTTTACACTGAATTTAACCCTTAGACATACTGTACACTTTTATTTCTTGTTGAGACTTATGTTTTTCTACATATTATATACAAATTAGGCCAGTAAATAGGCATTTTCTGGGGCTTGGAACGAATTAATCCGGTTTCCATTATTTCCTATTGGGTTTCATTGCTTCGGTTCTCGAACAATTTGGTTCTCGACCGTCCTCCTGGAACGAATTATGTTCGAGAACCGAGGTATCACTGTATCCTATGTTTAAGCCACCCCATCTATATAGTCTTTTGTTATGGCAGCACAAGCTGACAAATACACCTTCCTAGTTTTTTCCTCTCTAGTTTAAATTTTAAAGCTCTCCCAAATGATTTGTAGAATATATACGCATAACTTGAAGGATACTTCAGAAACTAAGGCCATGTGTATAAAAAGGCATTCCTGGGCATCTAACCAAGTAGACAAGAGAAAAATAATTGGTGAAGGTGCTTCCTAATCAAGAGAACAAAATGAAATGGATGGTTTTTATTTGCTTGCATGTACTTTTAAACTCTTAAATTTTCATCTTCTTTTCAATGCAAACAGAAGCTCTCCTCAGGTGAACCAGATTTGGGTATTTTCAGCTGTGGTCAGCTTCTCTCTGAATCCCACTCGGTCTGGTGATGCCGAGTAAACAAGGCTATAAATCAAATTCAATGCATTTAATACCTCAGTGCATTGCAAATTGATCTGGAATAGGGGTCAGTTCAAATCGTTTTAAAAGTGAAACTGTCCCCTTACCCAGAAGGGAAGGAATGGAAGGTAAAGATAGAAAATCCAAAGTTAGATGGGATTCAGAAATGTGGCTGCTTGTTAGAATGGAGGCCAGGTTTCTTCAGGTGAGATTCTTCAGTTACTTGTCAGGCTGGAGCCATGAATATTCAAAACACACATCCTGGTGGCTGGCATTAAATCTGAAATCTGGTGGGCAACCTTTCAAGAAATAAAAGCTACAAACAAAATAGCTTTAGTTCCATTCAGCATGCTGTGGGAAACGGCTAATGGACAAGAATTACTATGACTGGCAAGGCAAGCTGCCAATAAATGAGAGGAGCAGCGATTCAAAACCACCACATAACAGCAACATTTCCTAAGCTTATATCACTAATTTGTCAAAGTAGGACATTATCTGAAGTGAAAGCAAAATGAGGTTGGAGAGCACAGGGGAAGGAACTATTTAAAAGTAAAACCTATGTTTGTTTGTTTGTTTTTTCTACTGGTTAGTTATGTGTTGTTTTGAGCACTTATGGTTTAGTTTACTTCTAACATTTCCTCATACTACATTTTGTTTTACTGAAGGCAACATTTTCTCCTTTTCAAATGACAAGTAGAAAACTATTTCTGGTAGGAAAAATTTTTTCATTCTGCTTTGTCTTCTACTGGGAAGGAAGAAAGTCCAGTGGTTGGACGGGAAGAAAGTGTGGAGTTCTGACATGCCACCCCTCCGAGAGGAACGGAGGCCCTATTCTCTTCTCACCTGTCATTTTCTTTCCTAGAAGAAGATAAACCTCAAGTGCTCTATCCCCCTCTTTTTTCCATCTTAAACTCTTAAGTCTCAACTGTTTCTTATAATTTTAAGCAGACTGTTAAATGGGTCAATACTTGCAATCTCTGACATTCTGGAATGGAATGAAAATTATCCAATCACAAAGGAAGAATTCAATCACTTAACTGTATAAGTCAAATCAGTCAAAAATTCAATTATTAATGCCTTAAATTCTATTTCAGATAGACTTTTTAGTGTAATGGGTAATATAAAAGTGTAATGGTTTTTAATGTAATGGAATAGAGCATGGTCTCTGGGACTGGACTACCTGAGTTCAAATTCTATTTACACAAGATACTAGCTGTACAGATTTAGATAAATTAATTTAATCTCTCTATGCCTCTGTTTCCTCATCAGTAAATGGAAAATATCAGTGGTACATCATAGGCTGTTGTACCTGGCAAAGAGAAAGCACTATATGAATATTAACTATTATTAAGAGTCTTTCAGAAAACTTCTAAAGGGCAGTATGTTAATCCCCCTACTCTCTGTTAGTTCTAGTAAGTAGTTATATGTAAAACCAAGTGAAAGTTCATCAGTTTTATGTCACAAAATAATCCTCTTGCTAATCATGTAAGTAAAAAGGATAAAAATAAAATCCTTTCTTCAAAATAAAATTCTTTCTCAGCCTTAACTGAGTAAGATTTTACCAATAACATAACTATACATTCTACTTAAACATACATGCTTCAATGAAAAGAGTCAAATGCAAAACACATATGACAATAACATCTTATTCTAAAACATTTACATAATCTTCAACATTGCTCTATAAACAAAATACATACTTCTGGGGTGATCTGTTATCAACTTCAGCCTTCAGTCGTAAATTCTCCCTCACCAGGCCACCATTTTCCAATTTTAGTTTTTTATTTGCCTTAAAAAAAAGAGTTAAAAATAATTAAGTAGGAGCTAAAATAAAAGTGCCCTGTAGAATTTATCACATGAGCCACCAGTATTTTTTAGAGTGATAATATCAGAAAACTGAATGCTGGAACATGGCCTTCAGAAACTTAAAATCACCACTGGGAATGACTTATGAAATTGTGAATACAATCAAGCATTTTAAATCCATATTCCCCAAGCACTTTGCAAATCTCCTACCCAGGGAAATAAACGGAGCTATGTTAGTTACAAGTCATTAAGGGACTATACTAATGGCAATTTTTTTTTTCTTTTTCACATAGCTGAATACTCTAAGCATGGTAACATTATACCATATGCCATTATTCGCAAAACTAATGCTAAGAGTTAATTCTTGAGCTATAAGATTGATTTTTGGTTGTTACTTAAAAATAGTTTTTTAGTGATAACAAATCTAATATGATTAAACCATTTGCTTTGTTTCTTCAAAAGGCTTTCCCAAATATCCTGGCTCACAACTTCTGAGACTCTCAAAATTGAATTAATATTTTCTAATAAAGTCTATGGATTCTCTTCTCTTTTGATTAAAAACAAGTATGATTTTCTTCTTTGAATTCTATAATACCTAAATATTGCTTAACAAAACATTAATTGCTAGAAAACTAGAGGCTCAACATTTTTTTAAAAAAATTTTTCTTTATTGATTTTAGAGAGAGAGGGAGAGACAGAAACATCCATGAGAGAGAACATCGATTGGCTGCCTCCTACATTCTCCCCACTGGGGATCTGGCCCACAACCTGGGCCGTGACTGGGAATCGAACTGGCGACCTCTTGGTGCATGGGTCGATGCTCAACCACTGAACCACACCAGCTAGGCTAGAGGCTCAATATTAATTCTGGACAGCCTAAAAAGAGTGTGCCTGGATTTTAGAGTTTTCTTAAAAGTTGCCCCCTTTAGATTCCCTTAGTCATTGCATTTTTTAATTCCACAGAAAATAAGACTCCCCAGAGTAAAAAACCAATCTAACTAACCTAGCAGGAGACATTCTTTGTTAGACTAGAACATTTACATTCAAAATGAACAGGTCACAAGAACTATTGTCAATAAAAAGGCTTAAACTAAGAAGACTTAAAAATATTTCAAAAATTTGGCCAATGTTTCTGACTAATTTCCAGAATTTGTGACTATATTACTTGCCTACCCACATACAAATGTCCTAACAGAATGACAAGAGAACATTCTTTTGGACACAAAGCCTAACTCTCTCAGATTCATCCAGGTTCCTTTTGGGCTTTGAGTACCTGCTTATCTTTGTGGTTGTAAACCAACCAGGATTGTGGAGGGTTAATTCTTTAAGTGACTGATAAACACCATTACTGCCCCTCTGAAGATATAAGGAAAGTCATTTACTTCCTCAAAGACACAGACAATGAATTAAGCTCTCAAGCACAGCACCATAAGAGGAGGAGGCACTTAGTGAATGCTTTTTGATGATGATGATAAGCTTAAATTAGAAACTCATTTGAGATTTCTTCTCTCCATCCCCTCTGTATTATATCACTATATTTCAAGCTCTCTCACCAGTCCTGTGGCTCTCTAACATTCTCTTTATGGGCTGGCTAATTCCTCAAATATCAGGAGATATTTTCAAGCTTAGGAGGGTAAAGATTACACAGGGCAGAGTTCCGTCCATTTGTTGTATCTGAAGGAGTAATTACGTCTTCAACTAACTGTTTTGCATTCTCAGCACTAACTGGGTAATGATACTAGCCTCATTATGGTTCATAATTCACTCTCTCCTGAAAACATCAGGAAAAAGTCCATTTCACTCATTCTAAGTAGTCCTTTTACGCTGCATCTCTTGTACTCCTATATTTGATCTATAGTTTGTTATTATTTTGTACTTCACATTCAAGTTTTGTCTCTGTAGTCCATGTTTTTAAATTCATTTATGTCCCAGTTTATTGCCTAGTACCACCTAATGCCATAACTAGGCAACCAAAATGGAATTAAATATCCCAAATAATTCTGAGGCCTCAGGATAGCTTTGACTATTGAATTTAACATGCAGCCTTTAAAAAAGCAAAGAGCCCTGGCCAGTTTGGCTCAGCGGTTAGAGCGTCGGCCTGTGGTCCGGAGAGACCCGGGTTCGGTTCCCACTAAGGGCACGTACTTCAGTTGCAGTTTGTCCCCGGCCCTGGTTGGTCGTGCGGGTGGCAGCCACTCGATGTGTCCCTTTCACGTCGATGTTTCTTTCTCTCTCTCTCTCTCTCTCTCTCTCTCTCTCTCTCTCTCTCTCCCTCCCTCCCTCCCTCCCACTCTATCTGTACAAAAATTGGAGAAATGTCTTCAGGTGAGGATAAAAAAAATAAATAAATAAAAAAGCAAAGAAAAACTGTGCTTTGTGCACTTCTTTTAGATACACCCCCTACACCACTCTTAGGAGCCCAGAGTGAAGTTTTTATACCAAGCCTCTTGCTCTAAGAAACATTTATTTTTTTAATGATATTTTTAAAATATGTTTTTTATTGAATTTTTAGAGAGAGAGGAAGGGAGAAATAGAAACATTTTTAGGCTGCCTCCTGCATGACCCCTACTGGGGATCGAGCCTGCAACCTGGGCATGTACCCTGATGGGGAATCTAACCAGGACCTCTCAGTCCATGGAAGGATGCTCAATCCACTGAAACACACCAGCTGAGCTCTAAGAAACATTGAGTACCAAAAACTTACATGAAGTTTAATAACTATAAAGGAGACCATACAGAACTCACTGATAGCCCCAGAAGAGGAAAGAAAGTTAAAGGGGACCTGGTGGATCGGCAAATACTGTAACTTTCCAGCTGTCTTTCATTCTTGTATTCTCTTCAGTGGTTCTCAACCTACCGAATGTCGTGATCCTTTAATATAGTTCCTCATGTTGTCGTGACCCCCAAGCATAAAATTATTTTCGTTGCTACTTCATAACTGTAATTTTGCCACTCTTATGTCTTAGGCGACCCCTGTTAAAGGGTCATTCGATCCCCAAAGGAGTCGCAACTCACAGGTTGAGAACCACTGTCTTAGACAAACCAACATGCTAATGTTGGCCACCAATACCAAAGAAACTACACACTTCCCCTAAACTCGTAATAAGTTCACTGCAATTATGTCTGTATCTTTTTCTTCTCTAAAAGCATCAAGTTCCCTTCTTTCTCTTATCTGGGCCTTTTCTGAGCCCAAATAGCATGTTGCGAATGGGTGTGTGAAAACAGCTTAGTATTTACACTGTTTCAGATATTCTCTGCTATTTAAGACCTCACTAAGGATCTCAGGGTGAGTATGTGGTAGTATTTTAAAATATTATATGGAGCCCGGCTGGTGTGGCTCAGTGGTTGAGCACTGACCCATGCACCAAGAGGTCCCTCATTTGATTCCCAGTCAGGGCACATGTCCAGGTTATGAGCCCAATCCCCAGTGGGGGAAGGAGGCATCCAATCGATGTTCTCTCTCATGGATATTTCTATCTCTCTCTCCCTACCTCTCTCTCTAAAATCAATAAAGAAAAAAAATTTTAATATCATAAGGAGCTCATTAATAATTTTAGAAGACTAGTAATTCAGCACAGTGACAGTATTTTAAGGGAATGCAGAGAGGTTGAAGGGGTGGCTGTGGACATGAATACCACAAAACCATCTCCATTCAGCACAAAAGGACTCCATTGGGGATAAACTTGAAGTCAAGATAAAGGATGGTCCTTTGGGCCAACAAAGCTCTATAGTACTTCACTATAATCTCTAGTGCAGATTGAATGTTTCACCTCCTTTCCTAGACTGGAAAATCTTAGAGGTTTGGCCTTTTCACCTATGCTTTCTCTATCTTGTTGGATGGATGGAAGAATTGAAAAAAATGAACTCCCCTCATAAGGCACAATAGTATTTTGCTTAAGGAAGTCTAAAGGGACTACTCACAGCTCTCTTAGAATTAGCCATTAAGCTTTTAACTATTTACAATCTTAAATATCAGAGAATGATAGTGCTAGAAAAGATATGGTCCAAGTCTTTCATTTTATAGTTAGGGAAATGGATATGTTTGTTTTTATGCAAACTTATGACATAAGTTTAAAAAAAGTTAAGGTAAACCACAAAGAGGGAAAATAGAAACACATCCTTTAAATTGATGTCACTATCCTACAAGAAGATACAAACTCATAAAAGCATTCCAGTCTCCAATTATAGTCACAAATGGAACCACCTGATATTTTTTGGCAGCTAGTGACATTTAAGAAGAAAAAGTTTTCCTATTGCTTATAAATGCTCATTCAGGAATTTTTATCCTTTCCCTACAAATCATCTAACGATGAATCAAGATAATATGGCTATTTATACTTTTAAAGGCATTTACAATATTATAGAATTTAAACAAAAACTGTAATAGAAATTTAAAAACTACATATATTAAAAATGTAAAAACAATCACACCTCACCTCCTTTAATTTATCCACATCATCTTTCACTTTTTCATAGATTTCATTAGCTGTTCTAAGTTTTTTCTTCCACTCTGTTACAGTTTCTGGGTCAATTTTACTTGGATTATCTGCAACTGAATGTTTGTCTTCATTTTGGTTGCCCTGCATCAAGGTTAAAGGATCCAGAATAGTCTTGATCTGTGACTCCAAGCTGAGATTTTTACTTTTAAGCTCTTCTACCTCTTTCTGTAGACAATCTATTTCATCCTGAAAAAGCAATGCATAGCCATTAGGTAGACACAAACATAAGCACATACATATACTAACCTGAGGCCAATGTGTTTTTAAATTTTATACTCAGAATTCTGTAGATACACAGATTCTTTATATATCAGAACAGTTCTGTAGGCAGAAAGTTACAGTTGAAATTCTCAAAATGTATTCTGACTCATAAAAATGGGCATTCCCACTGATTTCACTTAAATTCAATGACAGTTTTGAATTAAAAAAAAATAAAAATGTCAAATCTGTGATTCTATTTAAGATATCCAGGAAACAAAAGTCATGTAAATTAAACAAGGAAGTAGATTCCTCAGAAGAAAATTGTAAGTCATGTTTAATTGCTTTATTAAGGGAAATTTTAAAATACAGTGCTGATGAAAGTGATCTATTATAGTTTTCTTTGATGTTTATATTTTTGCTTCTATATTTGAAGTAGAGGTTAAAACCATATGCCATTTCCTCCTACTTCCCATTTCAGAATATCAGTAGTTAATTTTTACTTTCTACATTCTGGTTCTTCAATTACCACTGTGACTATTCTAAGTATTAAATTTCACCATCTGTAATGGCTTACTATCTTTAATTCAATTATTGGGCATTTGGGCTAGAACTCTTTTCTGTGATACCATTTATTCATCTAAAACAGGTATTTCTTCTTAAACTAAGACTGGGAGTAATTCTGCTCCTAGAAAATAAACTCCAAGAAGCTTAATATGCCAATGATCCCCTAAAGGATTAATGTGATTGGTACCTAAGTGTGATAAATATTCACTGAGTATATAAGAATACATTTTAGAATTAACAAAGATAATACTATTTACTATTTAAATTATAATACATTTCACGTTAAAATTATTATAAAATAAGAAAATCACTTTGTTTGAATTAATACATTAATAAATAAACAAATACAAGCAGAAAAACATATATGAATAAACACTTATTCAGTCATTTCTTTGTACCCCACTTTATTTAAAAAAATTTTTTGAGGCAGCTAAAGTATTTTTCATGTATATAGTTTACTTTAATAATATTTTGTATTAAAAGAAGGGACCAAGAATATCCTCCCTTTAGTCAACATTAAAGAACAATGGGACTTAATATTTACTATTCAGAAGTATATGTATTTCAGCCCTGGCCAGTTTGGCTCAGCGGTTAGAGCGTCGGCCTGCGGTCCGGAGAGACCCGGGTTCGGTTCCCGCTAAGGGCATGTACTTCGGTTGCAGTTTGTCCCAGGCCCTGGTTGGTCGTGCGGGTGGCAGCCACTCGATGTGTCCCTTTCACGTCGATGTTTCTCTCTCTCTTCCTCTCCCTCCCTCCCACTCTATCTGTACAAAAGATGGAAAAATGTCCTCGGGTGAGGATTAAAAAAAAAAAAAAAAAAAAGAAGTATATGTATTTCATTAACATGAAGCTAATTTGGAAAAATTCCATTACCATGTCAAATCACTTTCACGAAAAGAAAACTACTTACATGTGGAATCTAAAAAAATCAAATACATAGAAGCAGAGGGTTAAATAGTGGTGGAGACGTGGGGAAAATGGGGAGATGGGTTAAAGGGTATAATGTTGCAATTATGTAGGATAAATAAGTCTAGAGATCTAATATACAGTATGATAACTAGTTAACAATACTGTGTTATACTCTGGAAATTTGATAATAGAGGAGATGAACATGTTAATTAGCTTGATTGATATAATCATTTTACTACATATGTGTATATCAAAATATCATGCTGTCCACCTTATATACAATTTTTAATTAAAACACACACACACACTATTATACATGTAAAAAAAAAAGGAAAAACCATATTTTAAGCCAAAAATCTCTTTGCTGGTAGCTGACATGGGTATAGGTACTTATCAGAACTGATCAAGCTTATAGTTATCAGTGAATTTATAAGCAGAAACAAAAACAGAATGAGGGTCGTAGTCACTGATTACCAGAACATTCATAAAGCTTTATGGGGGCTGGAAGACTGACTTTCACAAGAAGGTTTCTTTTATCTCCCAACTTCTTGTGATAGTAAATATTTACAAAACGATGTGTCTACTGAGGACAGATTTTAAATGAAAAGAAATTTTAAAAGGGAATGCTTCTATCTGTTCTTTTCCTCTATTTGAAATAGAAAAGGGAAAAGGAAAAAGAATGTATCAAATATTTTTAAACTGGTATTTAAATAAGATTTCATTGGATGTTCACACTAAGAAGTCCAGGGCCTGAGAAAGCTGTTTTACCTTTAATTCAATGCTGTCATCATTTTAAATTTTAATTATTATTTACCTCATATTCTTTGTGCAGTAACTCAAGTCTAGTTTTCCGAAGGTGCTTCCGGACTGTATGGCTTAGTATAGGTTCACTTTCACTTGTCCCTCCTACATGAAAAAAAAACAACACCTAACTTTTTATTCCAATTCAGGCAGAAAGAAAATGAAAATGAACCTTTTTCTTACTGTTTTATACTGCTTTCTAGCTTAATTTATACTTATATATATACTTGGGGCTGCCATCGTGGCCTTTTCTCTCTCTCAACCCTGAGAAAGGATAAATATCAAATAACACCTTAAGAAGTACCTTCAGCAAAATATCATGTTGAGTTTATTTACTTATATATCTTATTTTTGTAAACTCATTAAAGTTAAATGCTATATTTTATTAATGATCACATTTGGACTACTGCAAATATTAAATACCAGACAATTTTTTTTTTTAATCCTCACCCGAGGACATTTTTGCATTTATCTTCAGATAGAGTGGGAGGGAGAGAGGAAGAAAGAGAGAGAGAAACATCGATGTGAGAGAGACACATTGAATGGTTGCCACCCACATGACCCCAACCGGGGCTGGGGACAAACTGCATGAGGTACATGCCCTTAGCGGGAACTGAACCCGGGACTCTGGTCTGCAGGCGGACGCTCTAACCTCTAAGCCAAACCGGCCAGGGCTAGGCAATTCTTAAATAATGATAAAACCAGTGATTATATTTATATTTAACCAATAAATTATATAAATATTATCTATATATGTTATATATAATTATAAGTATACATTATCTATATATCATAATATATACTATGTACACATTATAATATATATTATTATAATCAATTTCTTCATTCAAACATACCTAATTACTGGTAACACACCAAAAGGACTGTGTCATTTCACTGACTCTAACAACCTAGTTACAGTGGATTACAAATCACAGCATTATTGCATGCCAATAACGACTCGTTACAAATACTCTCAAAATGAATTCTTCCCAAGAGCTCTTCACTTATGCTGTGGTTACCTTCTTTGTTCTTCTTAGCATCATAATAGTAAAGGCATTGTACAAATGTTCTTTTTCAGGACATTCTATCCAAATCCAAGGATAGATGAAGTATTTTATTTGAAATAATTTATGAAATATCACTTAGATATAGATAAATAAAGGCAGGAGAAGAGATATAAAGAGAAGCTGTTAGAAAAAAAACATTTAAAAAAAGAATTTATCAAATAGTTTTAGATTGAAATTTAAATAAGATTTCACTGGATGCTCACTCTAAGAAGTCTAACCTCATATTTTGCAAGAAAAGACTTGACTCTTTGGTGAAGTTCAGTACAGGTGAAAAACTAGAGGCAGAGAGGTTAACATTACAGTATGCAGCAAAGCAGAGAAATATCCTTCTGTAGGATTTCACCCCCCCTCCCCAACCCCCAAAAGCCCTGGCCGGTTTGGCTCAGCAGTTGGAGCATTGGCCTGCGGACCAGAGAGTCTTGGGTTCCGTTTCCGCTAGGGGCACGCACCAAAAAAATAAATAAATAAAAGAGTTCTTTAAATTTTTATTTTTTAAGGGTCTTCTAATTTAAGTTTCATTCTCCCTTGTACCTGTACTAGTATGAAACTTTTTTGTTGTTGTTGTTGTTTTTTTAACCCTTAATCCAGACTCACATTCTCCCTCACCTGTGCAAGAACCTCCTACCTGACCTCATATCCCATCTCTCCACTACAGCCCAACCTACATATGATCATTTGAGTAAGTTTCCTTAAGCATTTGGATCATGTGACCTTGCTCAAAACCATCATTCCAAAATAAAAAAAAAATAAAAAAAACCATCATTCCCACTTTACCTTTCTTCTCACCCATAGAGCAATTCCCTGATTTAATGTGTCATTCAAGATTCTTTGCACTAAAGTCTCAATTTACCCTTTCAGTCTCATTTCAGCAGTAAATCCTAAACTAGACTTACTGATAATTTCCAAAAACATGCGTTTTGTCTTCCTACTCCTAAATGTTTTAGTTCATGCTATTCCCTCTGCACAAAATGTTCTCCCTAATCTTTACCAGTTGAAGTTTTATCCATTCTTAAATCCCAACATAAAGGTCATCTGCTTCATGAAACCTTTCTCAATGTTGCTACGTGAACTTTCTTGCCTGAACACTCTGGGCCTTTTCTTGGTCTTTAGCATCTGCTGCTTTAAACTATTAATATTTTGGTCTACATGCACAACCCATACCAGAACGTAAGTTCCATGAAGCTCTAAGATTTCTGATAATGCCTTGTGCTCTTCAGTCGCTCCACATAGATTATATGTATGACCAATCCATTCAGTATGATATTGGCAAAATAACATCATTGAAAGTTGTCCGTTTCAGTCTTCCTTCAAATATACACTATTAAGAGATGGTTTCAAATCTATTTCTATGTGTTTAGAAAATAGGCCCTTACCAATAATCTCTTTGCAAGGATTTTCAGGAGTGATGGGGACTCTGCAAGCTGGACACTGGCTATTATTCTTCAACCACAAATCGATACAAACTGAACAAAATACATGGTTGTTGATGCATATGACAGGTTGGCGTACCTTTGAAAAGAAGAAATATTACTTTTAGTACAAGGCAACAGTCATAACTAGAATCCCAATAGGTTTAGTTAAGAGCAAACAAATTGCTCCAGTGGAGTACAGCACAGTAGGTATAGAAGCAGAGTAGCTGCTTCTGCTACCACATTGTTTCTTATCTATGTTTAACAGAGATACCAGCTGAAATATCTGGTCATAGATTCTGAAACTTCTGACATACTGCGGGGGGGAGGTGGGTAGGTTTACAGTTGTTCATATGGAAAATACAATGATTAATAAATAATAATAGAAGAATAAACTGTGTTTCATGTACTCACAACGGTAAACATACTTTTGTTCCACTCTGTATTATGAAATGGTTTGATTTTGTTCCACTAGGGCTGGGACAATTTTCCTTTAACTGTCCTATTTTAGAATTATGAAATTAGGAATAGAAGGCTCTTTAAAGATCATTTAGTGCTAGTTCTTATCTGATACTTGAATCCTTCCCTCAATTTGTTCTACTATTTAACAGAGCAACAGCAACTAACAATTAAACACTGACATCCTACGGAAAAGTATCCCAAATCAAAGAGGCATGAAAACTAAAATAACCCCTAAAGATATGAGTACCACTCTCAAATGGTATATAATCTCAACAGCAAACAATGCCTGACAGATACTGGCATACATCAAATACACAAATCCCTGACTCCATTTAAACAAGTACATATAATAATAATACTTTACATTTATATAGTCATGTATTTTACAAAGGGCTTTAACATGCATTTTCTTTCTCTCTGTTTTTGTTTTGCTTTGTTTTTAAATAACTCTGTGAGGTAAAGAGCAAATATACTTTACAAATAAGGAAACTCAGGTATGAAGAACTTAGGTGCCTTGCTCAGAGTTAACTAGATGTTTTGCCTGTATTTAATTGTTTTATCAGAGGAAAAATAAAGAGAGAAGTTAGTTTAGTTTTGTACCTGATATTATGCTTTGATTGTTCACATATTTATTATCTATCTCCCCAGAGGGAAATTATAAGAGAGAAACTGCTTCAGTTTTCTACCTGATATTATATATTTGTTTACATATTTATTGTCTGTCTCCCCTATTAGAGTGGAGGCTCCATGAGAGCAATTAGTTTCATTCATTCTTAAATATTTGGTGCCTAAAAGACAGCCTAGTACACGTAGGTATTCAATAAAGGTTTGATGAAGTATTGCTATTAAGGTAGTATATATAACATTCAATTCAAGTTGGGGAACTTGACAGAGGGAATAATGATTTAATATTCTTCAAACAGCACAAATTTAACAATAAACAAAAAATAAATGCTTAGGTTTTTACTTTATTTCCATGGTACTTTTACTGTAGAATTCTAAACACTTTTTAGCCATTTTCAGTATTTTCCTGTTTTAATAATAACAACTATTTAATAATAATACTATTGTAAAGTTCTTTTGCATTTGGGATTGGAAGATCAAGGGAAAGCAGAGGAAACAGAGGAAGAAAGAACACACAGAACCACCACAAACCACTTTCAGCAGAGAAAATGCGTGTCCACCTCAGTATAGGAACACTCAGAATATGAGTGCTAATTTTAAAGGGGTCCCTACTCTCAGAGAAATCGCAGGATGTAAGTCACTACAAAGTGCTCTCTGGTCTTAGTTTAGCTTCCAAACTTTAGATGCTGTCTTGATTATTAACAATAGCATAAAAAAACTAAACAGAGAAGACAATGCAGCATGAATTTAAGCTTCCTCTTGGAGAAACCAATTCTAATTCATTCAGTTCAACAGATTTGATTGGACTAATTAAAATAAATAAATAAATAAATAAATAAATGACCATGAAGAACTCAAACTCTTCTTTCAAAGTACTCTACCAACAGCAAGGAGTGAATGCTTATCTGGGAGTACGAAGTTGTGATTTATTAGAAATATTATTTGATCATTCGGATAACCTAAATATATTTCTCAGATATTTGGTCTTCATCCATAGCTCCTGGCTTACAGTTCCTAAACCCCTTGGAATTTATCTAAGTGATGAGAACAACAATGGTGTCTCTTATTGTGTTAATGAGGTTACTTTTGAACCCAACCCAAAGTTGGGGGCTGGTTGCCAGTAGGAGCCAACTTTGAGGTCAGAGGATTGGAACTTTCATTCCTATCCCCTAATTTCCAGAGAGGGGAGAGGGGTTTAAGGTTGATGAGTCAACAATGGCCAATGACAAAGTCAATCATGACTAGTAATGAAGTCTCCATAAAAACCCAAAAGTACAGATGGAAGGAGACTTGACTTGTGGTGAACACACTATACAATATACAGATGATGTGTTATAGAATTGTATATCTGAATCCTATATAATTTTATTAACCAATGTCACCCCAATAAATTCAATTATAACCCACACACACACACACAAGGACAGCCTCTCAGCCCTTTTTCAGAGAACCACAGTGCCTCCACATTCCACCATAACAGGCCCCAAGCCCCAAGAGGACAGAAGCTCCTTTGTTTGAGACCCTATGAATCTCTTCATTTGGCTACTGATTTGTATCCTTTAATACCCCTTGTAATAACTGCTAATCTAGTGGGTAAATGGGTTTTCTTGAGTTCTGTGAGCTGTTCTAGCAAACTAATCGAACCCACGGAGCGGGTCGTGGGAACTTCTGATTTACAATCAGTCAGAAGTACTGGTAACAACTTGTGCTCGTGACTGGCTGCTGAAAAAGTAGAGGGCTGTCTTTGTGGGACTAAGCCCTTTCTTTACCTGTGGAAGAGGGATTTGAACCACAGACAGTCAAGTTCCCAAGAAGGAGACTGAGACCCACCAAAGCATAAGAGGGAGATTTCTGCTTATATAGGAGTGAGATTCTATCTTCCATTGTAAGAAAAAGGAAGACTGAGGGTGTGAGAACTAACACAAATGGTTTGGAAAACCTGTTGGTAAAAAGATGAGAACTCAAGCTGCAACTGTTCTAATTGCTTAGATTTTGTCATTAAATATGAGGCGAGGTAACCAGCTGACAGTGAGAAGTGGAGAAGGACATTAACTTGAGAAAATTGGAGAATAAAGCAGTTATTTTAAAAAGTGAGAAGTAAAATTTACTAGGGACATGTAGCAGGATTGCCAAACACTATTTGAGGTCTGTGGTTTTTACTGTATAGACTGATTAACATAGGTGTGTATTTTTCTTACCAACTTTTAGCTACTCAGGTTCAGGCAGGAAGTAAGTGAGCTGAAATTTTGCCAGGGAAGAAGAGAGAGACAAGGGACTGATGATAATAAATGACCATGGCTAATAAGGGAAATGAGTACCTGAATGGTAATGACAGTGAAAAAGTGAGTCATAGAGTCAATGGATAGGTCTGGGTAAAGCTGAAGTATCGCTAGAAAGTAAGTATGAGGAGAAGAGGATCAGAGACTGAAATGCTTCTAGTCAAAATACTGGAAGTGGTACAGCTGTCATGTTTTGTCTTGAGTTGCCTTATCTGACAGCGTTCTATTTCTCTCTTAATCTCATGTATCACATGGTGTTAACATATTTTCTATGGTGACAATTTCTGAGAATCCTCTGTAATTGAACTTCAGTAAATCGCAGAGCTTAGGCATCAAGAAATAAACCTGGGGCCAATTCCAGCTCTGTCACTTATTGAGCTGTCTGACCTTGGGGGAGCCCATTAGTTAAAAGGAGTATCAGTATCTGCCTCTGAAAACTGTAGTTCAACCTAGCACACTTTTCACTTAGGTGCTGCTTAAAATTTAATAGTATAAAGATGTAAGCACAAAGACTTCCACATAGCAATACTTCAATCAATCAAAAAGAAGGAATTGAAAAGGTAACAATATTGCTATATTCACTTGCCCAGGAGCCAACTCCATGTAAGGATCTTGTAGCTGTCTCAACCATAAGGTGTCCAAAACCAAACTTGGCCCCCTCCTATTCTCTCCTCTTACACTCCTATTAAAAGGTGGGAAAATCAAATGCTATCTCCTCTGCAAGGCCTTCACTAATTGCTTTAATGGAACCAACCTCCCCCACCACCACCACATGGGCTAGAATACTCAAAGCCCTCTCTGACTCACTTTTAACTTCTCCTTAACATCCAATCTGCCACCAAATCCTGGCATCATTTATCAAGTCTAAGAAGCCAGAGATTTTATGATGCTCCAATATGTAAAATGAATAAAAAATGCTGCCGATTACAACTGCAAGATGCCATCACTTATAAGATAAAATCAGGTGGATAAAAGTACATTTCAGAATAGTTAAAATATGGTAACTATTCCTTTAAGTATTCTTTTACCTATGATCCCTTCTTTTCCATCTTAATGATGACTTCAGGTTCTCATTCTTTTACCCTGATCTATTGTGTAATCCCCTCTGAAGCTTCCTTGCTTCCAAATGTCCACTTCTAGGCAACTTTCATACCAATGCTGGAGCTACCTTCCTAAAATATGCATCAGCAGCCTTCATTGCTCTTCTGCAAAACAGCAACGGTACTTTTAACTATAGCATTCAAGAGCAACATAATCAGGTTCTCTAATAGCAATTTCCCTTGATCTGCTATTTCAATACTTGACAATCTACTATTCAACCACACAGGTCTATTTGATGTTCACCAAAAAGAATACCAGTAGTGTAGACTCCCTATTTATTTTGCTCTCATGTATTACCTTGATTTGTCCTGTTGGTCTCCAGTTTCCCCAATCAAAATAAAATCCTTCTCACCTTTTCATATAAAAATCAAATGCTATGCCCTCTGGAAGGCCTCTACTATTCCTTTTAGAAGTGCCTGGGTCTTTTTCTGATCCTCATAAGGGTACTCCTTATGCCCCAATATAATGTTCACTTCTTTCTGTGTTGTGCTATACTTTAAAAATTGTTTACATCCCGCCTTCCATATTAGATTTCAGGATCCTTGGGGGTAGTGGCAGTGTCTCGCTCATCTTTGTATTCACCGGCAGCACTGATACAAGGCCTCACACAGTCTAAAATAAAAGTGAATTTGCC